CAACTATAAAAGTGGGAGAAAAAGAAAAAGAATGAATTATGCAGTCTATTTAGTGTTGAAAGGTAGAAGTGTCTCATTGTCAAAGGTAAACATAAATAAATAAAAACCTGCCACAGCCATGAAGGCAAATAGTGACAATTCACTGTGATGAAGCTTTGAAATGCTGGGCTTTCCCTGATGCTAACACAAGCCCGGACCCAGCCTGAAAACATTCTAGTTCCTTCCGAGTGTTGTTCTGGGCTCTTAGTCCAGTCTGATAGCCCATCCAACCTTCTATGCCTCAAGTAAGCAACCAGTTAATTGTTTTTGAATTAACTGCTGCTTGAACAAGGACACCCAGAGGAACAGTTCATAGTGGAGACTGTAAAGTTCTTCCAAGCAATCAGGCTCCATCATCAACAGGATAGCCCATGGCCTTTCTGATAAAAACTGACATGGTCAGGAAGGTGCTTTCTGGGGAGTAAAAAGGGCAGCTGGCAACTAGAAGCCAGTTGTCTAGCAAAGACACTTCCTGTTATCCCCAGAGATACCAAATCAGTGGATGATTTGACAACTCAGCACTTTATTGGCTTCCCAGCACTCAAAAGGCAATAGAGGTAGCCTTCCAAGTAGCATTGGCTTTTTGTGTGGCTCTCATGAATGGGGCTCCTCGAGCTCTGCTTGTAATTTCCCTTAGCCCACCTTTGGTTAAATGTTATAAGGCAGAAGATAGTGTGGATATGGAAGAATATCATTTCTAGTGAGCAGTATGGTCCTTGTGAGCTGTGATTTCCTAACCAACACATCTCTTTATATCTCAGTTTCCCCAACACTATAGTTTTTCTTTTATTTCCAGCCACAATATGAATCTTCTGTTTCAGTTCACCTCCTGGCAGATTTGACTAAAAAACATCCTAGAATATTACCCATTCCAGTGATGGGAGAGGTGAGAATGGAATGCTGTTTCTGGCACTGAGTGAGGCTCTTGCACCAGCATGACATAAGATTCCATTCAGTAGCTGATGATTAGTCAAAGCCATCTTGCTTCTCATCTCTGCCATCCTTGCTCCTCTGAGACAAGAGGTCCTCCTCCCTCATGCACTCATTCCTGTTCCTGTCAGGGAGTTTATGTGACAAGAAGTATGCTCCCAGTGCCCCTTTCCTGCCGTTGTAGCTTGCTGCTGGGTCTTCTGAAACCCATTATCTATAATAAACTGTCTTTTTGATAGCCTCAGTCTTCTCTGTGGAATCACCCACCTTTACCATCTCCTGGCCGTAAGTGAAACTTGCTTATCCTATAGAGGATATCTTTCCTTTGCTGCTTCAACTCCCCAAGTGCTCCTGGACTTGGAGATGATATGGGCATTCTCCTGACTTTTTGTTTTTCTCCCACCTTAAGTAAAAGTGCATCCAGCCGCTGTCCTTGGTTGTTGCGATGGAACTGTCCTACCCTGACCTACTGCTGATCCTTAGTGCGAACTCTCCCTGACTTCACATTGCACTATGTAATTTCACCTGCTCACCTAAGCCTTTTCCACTGATTGGAATATTAGTCCTTTTCTTTTTCATCTATTCAAATCCTATCTGTTCAGTTGTTGAAAAAGTCAAGAAGTATTTTTCTGTGTTTTCTACGCAAAAATGCGTCCTTACTTTTCCGATGACCTAATAGCTCCCTTTCACCTAGTCTTTTGCCTGATAACTTCTGCCAGTAGAGATTTCCTCTTTAAATCTTACTACATCCCTTCTTTGGTACACAATTGTATGTTGTGCTATGACCGTTGATTTTTATTTTGTATTATAATGTAAATTTTCTAATGTTATTTAGCTTTTTAAGTATTCTGTGCTAATATACTCACTTAGTATTATGGTCAATCTCTTTGAGGATAGACCCATCTGGGAACTTTCTTTGATATAGTTATCTATCATCAGGTCTGAGCTTAATATTTAAGCAGATGATAAATGTTTGTTGAATGAAAGAAAGAATCCATCTATCGTGAGTGAGTATTTCATGATGTTGGAGAGCTTTACTTTCTTTTGTTACTGAATTGCCAAATACAATCTTTCTAAACAGATTTCCTGATGTGACCTCTTAGTTTTCAGCTATAACTTGCTGTGAGGTTTTCACAAACCATCGCAAAGTAATTCGAACTTGTAAGGAAAAACATTTAATTAAATATTAAAGGAAAAAATTATAGGAGTGTCAAAATAGTGCCTATATTTGATGTCTTTTCTTATGGATGGATATACAATGTCCTTAATGGAAAGCCTAGTGTTATCCGATATAATCTCTGCAAAATATTTCTTTTCTCTTTTGTTTTTTGCTACATTTTAGAAAAGAGAGATACTTAGCTCTATACTTATAAAAACTGGACAAGTATACCTGGTAACATTTAAGAACTTACTTGCATATTTTCCTGGAAGCATCAAAGAGAATAGAAACAGTTAAGAATTTAGGAAAAATATACTATTATTTACACCCATGTTACCGTTAAAGCTCACCATGGGATGCTTTTTGCTATATGTTGAACGTCCATTGGCATCAAAGTACTTTTCATTTTAATAAACCATCCCCAAAGGAGAGTATTTTAAGTAAGGAGAAATCTGGGGAGATTGAGAACGGTTCTGTGTGGAGGAGGTAGGTTATAACTGCTGAAGCTTCCTCTGCTTTGATTTCTCTGCTCCTTGCTATCTCTAGAAAGCAGTATGTCATCCCTAGCTACAGTGAAGCAGACTCATACATATTTACCAGTTGCAAATTATACATGTGTGGCCCAGAGAGTAGCAGAGTTCTTTGTCTTTCTGCTTTTCTTCCTTCGCTAATGATTCAAAACTCTTAATACATCCAGGATTTGGAAACTAGTCGTGTAGCTTGTCATTTCTTTTGTACACTGATTAGGTCTTTGTAATTTTAACAAAATTTTATTTTTCAACCTGGAACCTTCCATGTAGGTAGACTGAGGTTTTCTGCATCCTGTGTCAGGGCTTTGATGTAATGATTTATTAAGGTACTAGGAGAGATATCGATTCTGCTAATAGCTTCTGCCTTGCCACATAATGTTTTACATTTTACTTAGCTAAAAGACCATATTCCTTTTCTCCTCATCTGATTGACCATAAATGCTTTGGCCTTTCCTCAGCAATTATCTTACCAGAGCAGTGGGTAAAAGTCAAGTATTTATAGACTAATTAGTGAAGTCAACACGTCTACATAGAATACTTTACTTACTACCAAGAAGTATTGTACAGTACTGTGAAATTAGAAAAGTTCAGTAGAAGCCTGAAAGCAAGGGTTGAGGACTCAAATGGTTGGGGACACATATACTGCTGACAGCAGTTGTCTTTTTGGTATGCTAATTAGGACACAGGTAAGGTGATGTTATAGTAGTAACACTTTTCCTATGTATGTATCTCCTCAATAGCTGCTTTTTACTTATGAAAGCTTTGGAAGGTTAATTGGTTTCAAGTTTATTTCAGATTTTTGTTGTTGTTTATGCTCTCAGGATAGCTATAGATGTGATGGTATCATTTAACATTTGAACTCTTGGTAAGGGACCAGCAGATTGCATAATGGTTATGTCTCTAGACTCACACGTAGTTCTCAGTGATTCGAGTACCGGACCTTAAAACATGCCAGGCACATGTGCATCAGTGCCCAAAATCCTGAGAGAAGACTGGAGGAGAAGGGATTGTGGCATGACCATCCCCCTGATGATTTCTCACTCTCTCTCTCTCTCTCTCTGTCTCTGTCTCTCTCTGTCTCTCCAGTGAGCACAAGCTCCTTATAGCAAAAATCTCTCTTAAAAAAAAAAAGACATAATAAGAATGCAAAATCTCATTTTGTTATATGTAAAGCTACTTTGTATTTTTAAAATGTCTTAACAGTCTTACTTCTTGTGGAAGCTTTTGTTATCTCCGTTTTGAAAATAAGACAAATGCTGCTATAAAACAGCATACACCACTGGCAGTGAGAAGGCCTGGTTTCCTGGCCTTGTAACTAGTTGCTGTGCATCTTCATATTGGCCACACAAGGCCTTTGGGTTCCAATTTACTCATTTGGAACTAGAGAGGTAAAAATAAGTATAAAATCCAAAGAGCTAATAAATGTTCAATTACTTTGTAAATTGTACAGCTCTATAAAGATATAACTCTTTCTAAAATCTTTTACAATTACTTAAGGGTCAGCAAAGAATTTCTTTTGAGAAAAATGTAGGCAGAAATAGGGTCGCAGCCCAGGCTGTTGTTGAGTAATATTACTTCCTATTTTTGACTGTGTTGTTCCTTTTAATTAATTGTGTAGCAAGATCCACATGTGCATCTGCCTTTTGTATTTCATATACCTTTAGGAAGGGATGAAAAATCTATTTGGGATCTCCAAAGAAGATTAGGGAATTTTTGTCTCTTGTTCTTTTTTTCTCTAGGTCCCTCTCCCTCTCCCTCCCTCCCTCCCTCCCTCTCTCTCTCTCTCTCTCTCTCTCTGTGTGTGTGTGTGTTTCTTTCATATTTTAATTTACTAGAGGGCACATGTATGTTTCAGAGAGAGACAGAGAGAAAGAGATGGAGAGAGCACACCCCCTCAATGGGGCATGGTCACACTGCAGTCTCTTTTCCTCCATATCACTCTCCTTTAGGGAATTTGGGCATGTATGCACACACACTTGACATGCCTTTCAAGCCACTGGGTCCTAAACTTGAATTGCACAATTGACCATGTGGAATAAAACTCCCTTAACCACCAGGCCTTGGACTGGCACCAGGTAGGATATTTCTTTAGAAGTAACAAAGAATGTCTCATTATCCATATTTCATCATTTGTATTTTTCTCCAAGTAACAATAATATACTTGGAAATAAACTTTTGTGTTTTTCTTTGTATTCTAGCCTAGAACAGAAAAGAAACAACAAACCAATAGTTCAATATATCTGCCTTAAGTAAACAGCATTGCGTGCCTGATTTATTCTGTGCTTTTCATTTGTTCATTATCCTCCACTTCCTTTAATCTTTCTTCTTGTCATTATCTGCAGGGACTAATCATTTGTAAAACCAGAAACCAAAGTTAAATTGAATTGTACAAATGACATCAAAAAGGGAGAAGAGACGTTTTACAGAAGTGGTGAGTATTTTGGCACCATTAAATTATGAACTTTCTCTTTGGACCTCATCATCAGGGTAGCCAAGTGTCAAGCCCGTCTGTCTTATGGGATATCATTTTTCTTCTTGTTTATTTTGTTTTGGAAACTTAAAATAGTTGTAGAGTGGTGGAGGTCCTACATTAACTATTAACTTTGGTCATGGGTTCTTTATATTAGGTTATTAGAAAAGTCATGATGTATTATTTCTATGTCTTTCTATGTGCAAATGCATCATGACTTTTCTGACAACCCAATAGAATAATTAATCCAAGTTCCCTCTGTTCAGCACTTAGATGCTCTAGTTAGTGCTGTGTGATCCCAGGCCAAATCCTACTATTCATATCAGGTTGACTACTCTCTTTCATTTGTGGGTCTCTTTCCCACCTCCTGGTACCCTCTCTCATCTGTCTGGAGGTGCCAGTGGTGTCTGTCGGCTGCCTCTGACTGTCTGAAGTTTCCCAGTTTGTTTCGGGATTTCTCAGCTCCACAATTCCCATGTTGCCTTCTATGAAATATGCCAGGCTCCAAAATTACCTTTTCCTTCTCAGTATTATTTTGAACTCCTATTTATTTTCCTTAGGATAACTATAAAAATTGGGGGTTGGGGGAGTAATAGTGAATGAATTTGCAATAAGGTGTCTGTGACCAACGAAGCTTCTCCTTTAATTCTCCTAAGGACATATTTCCACTTTACAGGAGGTTGATAGTCTTCAGATATACTGTTTACTTGGGTAAGCCAGAAGTTGTTCATTCAGTAGTTCAACAGCTAACCAAGTACCTCTTCTTACCTTCATGTATTATGACAGATGAAAGGGTAGGAAACAGGTAAAAACCTTTTATATCAGGCTTATCTGAGTTCTACTGTTTATACCCAGGAATGGCCATTACCCTATGTGAGTCTACCCTCTTGGCACCCACCCTTACAGGCAGCAGGAGGTTCAGAGTAAATGGGAAGAACAGTTATGGAGATGAGAGGAAGCATGCCTAGGGCATGAAGATGCAGAGAAAAACAAAGGGGGGAGAAAGTATAGCCCAAGAGTTGAATTATTTAACCTTCAAAGTCTCTTGTGACCCTGAGATTCTGTATATATGAAAAAGAAAAAGAGAGAGAATCAAATGTAGAATGAAAGGGGAAAGGAGAGGGTTCTGAAAATACAGTAAAAGGCTGCATTTTTTATTTTTTTGCTATAAGGCGCGTGTACTTGCCAGAGAGACAGAGAGATAGAAAGCGAGAAATCACCCCCCTGTCCCGGGGGGATGGCCATGCTACAATCCCTTCTCCTTCATTCTCCTCTCGGTATCTTGGGCATGTACGCGCATGCACCCGGCATGAGTTTAAGCCACCAGATCCCGGACTCGAACCACAGTCGGCTACATGGGAGTTCAGCAACATAGCCATTACGCTAACTGCTGGTCCCAAGGCTGCATTTTTAAGGTACAAATCTCCAGGCCAATAAATACATTGGACATTGTTGTTTGCCTCCTAGGGCAGAGGTGAGCCTTTTCCTGCAGCTTCAAGGAATTTCAGAAGTCACTTGGCATGTAGCATCCCTGGCATGCCCTTTCATGCAGCTCCCACAGTGAGGTTGATGCTGTCAATAATACTTCAGCATTTTTTTAAACATTTGCTTTCCTAAGTCGGAGCCCTGAAAGATTGTTGATTAGAGATCAGAAATCTCTCAAAGTGACAGGGCTAAAGGTCCTTGCTTTTTCCCAGAAAGGTTAGAGATGACTCAGGGTTCAAAGCATCAGATAGAGATAGAGACAGGCCGAAAGAACATTAAAATGCAGAAAGACAAAACAAAACCCTATTTCTTATAAAAACAAGTATTTCCTCATTATTATTGTTCATTTATTTTATTGATGTATAATAATTGTACATATTTATGTGGTACAGTGTGATTTTCCAGTATAAGACTACAATGTGTAATGAGCAGATCTAGGTAATTAGCATATCCATCATTTCAACCATTTGTCATTACTTTGTGTGAAAACAAGAATTTTTCTAAACCAAAGCAGCAAGTAAGGGGACGTTAAAGTGTATATGAAGAGAATTTAAATACACTAAGCTTCCTGTATACTCCTTAAGTCAAAATGATCTTTTCTGGGGCCATCAAGTGGCATGGTGGTCAAGATGGCTGGATCCCACATGGCCAGAATGTGATTGAAGTTTTGGACCCAGCAGATTGAAAAACATCCTGAGCACATGTGCATTTATGGCTGAGGAGAATGGAGGAGAAGGGATTAGGGATTGTGGCATGGCCATCCTCCCTGGGAGGTACTTTATTCACTCCATGCCTCCCCCCGCCCCTGCTGAATTCTATAGCATATTAAAAAAATTGTCTGGATTAGTCTCCATGTGCAGTCATGTTGACCTATCCTCATATGCCCTGGCTAGTTGTAGCTAGAGAAGAAGAGAGGCAGTAAAAATTTGCCAGGAGGATCAAACAATTTTGGGCCGTTGTGATATTGGGTATAATTTAAATTGGCATTAATATACCAAATGAGGCCAATTTCAAAACAGTGTGATAAAGCCCTGTGCTTAGGGAGCTGGATCCCACATGACTGACAGTTGTATTAATGTTGACCCCAGCAACTTGAGAAATATGCTGGGCACACATGCCCCAAATCTTGATGGGATAGAGAAATGGGAAGAAAAGAGATTGAAGTATGACACCCCACTGGAGTTCTCCAGCTTACACTCATGCTCTCTCTCTGGCAGTAATTAAAAAATAACTTTTTTGTTTTGTTTTGTTTTGTAGTCATCTTATCAATCCTAAATGCAGTCATCAATGCAATCTTAAACCTCTTGCAGCTTATGAAATCTATGACTGTTGAACTTGACTAAGTGTAATGTACATTTTAAGATAAAAAAGGTTTCTGTATATAAAAATTTTTTGTAGCTTTAAAAGGTCAGTAGCTTCCTGATACAGAAATATGCCATGTAATTTTTAGAAGATAAATAATCCCCCAAACTTGATTTAATTGCTTCATTTTGCAGTCTCACTATGGAAAAATGTCAGCTATGTTCTGTGTTAGGTATGTTATGCTTGGAGGATTTGAGAAAGCATTTCTTGAGAAGATATCATCTATAATCTTGATGTTATTTTTAAAAAACAAGTAAAATTAAATTTAGCATTATTTATCTTTTTAGGAGTTATCTGAAGTTTCTTAAGAACATCTCTTGGGTTATTAGGGCATTTGATGAATGTTATTTGAATAATTCACAATTACTCAAGTATTTTATATGCTAAATAGTGTTCTAAATGTGGTTGTTTATGATCTAAACTCTTAATTAAAAGGCATATTTTGTGATATGAAACCCTTGCCATAATAATATAGATTGGTGATTTAAATTACTGGTGTAAATTTAAAGGGCCATTGGATCAAGGCAATAACTCTTTATCAAAATAATACAAAGGGGTCAGTAGGTGGCATTATGGTTAAGGAGCTGGATTCCCACATGGCCAACTGTGGTTCAGGCCCTGGACCCAGCGGCTTGAAAATCACATGAGGAGTGTGTGTGTGTGTGTGTGTGTGTGTGTGTGTGTGTGCGCCTAAAATCCTGGGAGGAGAATGGAGGAGAAGGGATTGTGGCATGGCAATCCTTCCTGGTGGTTGATCTCTCACTTTTCCTCTCTCTGTTTCTCTCCGGTGAGCACATGCACCCTATGGAAAGAGTCTTTAAAAAAAAAAAAAGATAATGCAAAGTAGAATTCTTTTCCTGTGTACATGTGTCCTGCTAGCTCTTAGAGTCTTTGTAAGGAGGAGCAGAATTATACTTTTGGAGTACATTATTGTGAGAAACTTACTTGCCTCTCTGAGGCTCTGTTTTCTCATGTACAAACCAGGATGATAATAACTCAACTGTCTCAAAGATTTTGTGGGCATTGACTAAGGCCCTGAGCAGTAGAGTCATGTCTTAAACAGACATTCTAAGTTTTGTACCTGCAGTCAGGTACAAGAGGAGAAAGATGTGTAGGTCCCCTTTTTCTTGAAATGTCCTTAAATTCCCATAAAAAACAGCAAACATCATTCTCTGACTACTTGTACCACCTCTCGGGAAGTCCTGTATTACCACTGTCTCTCTAGCATGGGACCAGTTTGGTGCTGAGAAGCACTCCATGAAAAATTATGTACTGTTGGGCTCCACTTACATGCAAGACACTCAGCACTGTGCCTCACACAGTTGATACTAGTTTATCTTCCCCTGTGCCTAGCACTTTGGTATTAATCTCTCTTGACCCTGTAGGGCTGGAATGTGTGTTTCAGTATAGTGCTAAGTTCTTAATCATGAGAGTTCAACTTGAAGTGGATGATTTTGAAACCCATTTGTTGGAACTGGTTTTTTGTGGTATATTTTTTCACTGGAGTCTGAGGAGAAGATACATGTTCATTAGGCTTAGAGCATATATATTCATTTGCAAGATACAGAGGAGTATCTTCTAGAATCTACTTATGCAGTTAGCATATTTTAAGTAATGATAAATTTCAGCAGTGTTAAAAATAACATCATCTGAAAAGTCATGCATTGCTGTTCCATAGGCTATTTTTGCGCAAAGTATCTTTGATCATTGTGGAACCCAAGACTTTTATTTTTATAAAGACAGAAGATAAACTGAAAATATAAATGAAGTTAGAGATGAATTAAAGTTATTTTACTAGGTTTGGGGCTGAGTAGAGAGACTAGTGAATATTTTTTTTCAATTTTAACCTAGTGAATTATTTTAAAGTATCTTAGCAGCTAAGCTGATACTTTGCTATTCCTGTCTGTGTTTGTGCCTTAGTAATTAGGAAAGAAAAAAACATGTTTCAATTACCACACTTTCAATTTTCCATTGATAATATAGGGACATTAAACATGGAAGCATTGCTGGGGATTGTTTCATTGATATTTCAGAATAAACTCAGCGTAACTGTTTTTACAGTGGACTGATTGGTGCACTCTGAGAAAGAACTGTATCAACATCTACAGTCTAAT